CAGAGACCCCATTTCCAAATAAGGCCACACTCACAGGTTCGGAGGTTAGGAGGTGGATATATCTTTTCGCTGACCACCATTCAGCCCGCTACATCTTCCTTTTTCCCCCCAGTGTAGTAACTCAGTGGGTGGCCCAAAATTGATTCATTTACCATTTTGCTTTATTTATTCTTTGAAACAGGGTCCTGCTCTCTTGCCTGGGCTAGAGTGCAGTGGCATCATTATAGCTCACTGCAAGCTCTTTTGTATCACCTTATTTAATGCTATTGCCCCTGGAGAGACGGTATTGTTTATATATAAGAAAACAGGGGTTTTAAGGGCTACAGAGCAGGACTATAAACCCAGTGGAGCGGCCCTGTTAATCCCAGGCTGGTTCTACCTGCCTCATCCTGGTGGAAGCTCCACAGCCTCTGCCTATCCAAAGAACTTCTTCCATTGTATTTAGATTGCACTTTCTTTTAAACAGATTAGGTTTGTGGTAGTCATTTCATTTCTTTTCTTTTCTTTTTTTTTTTGAGACAGGGTTGCATTTTTGTTGCTCCTAGAAGAGTGCTGTGGCCTCCTAGCTCACAACCACCTCAAACTCTTGGGCTCAAGAGAACCTCTTGCCTCAGCCTCCCAAGTAGCTGGGACTATAGGCGCCTGCTACAATGCCCAGCTATTTTTTAGAGACAGGGTCTTGTTCTTGCTCTTGCTCAGCCTGGTCTTGAACCGGCAAGCTCAGGCAATCCACCCACCTCAGCCTCCCAGAGTGCTAGGATTACAGGTGTGAGCCACCACATTCGGCCAGTGGTAGTCATTTCATACACACGATAAAAGGAAATATCAGCAACTTACCTGTAGGCCCAGCTATTTGGGAGGCAGAGGTGGATCTCTTGAGCCCAAGAATTTGAGGCTGCAGTGAACTGTTGATTGTACCACTACACTCCAGCCTTGGTGACAGAGCAAGACACTGTCTCTAAAAAGAAAAAACACATAGTGTCATTCTATTCATGGAGTTGCCTTAAATACACTGCTGGGGAAGATGGCCCAGAGCTATCATGAGCTATAAAATAGTGTTGTTGGTGTGATGTGTGTAAACTAGAAGACATTTCTGTACACGCATGTATATTTATGCATAGCACACACACTCCGAGACCTGTATGCATGTGTCTCTGTATGGTTTGGAGTTACAGGTTCAATATAATAAGAAGGAAAATACACAAAAAGAGTTAACATTGATTATCTCTTATAAATGGAATTGGTGCTGTGGGGGCAGGGGGATTTTAAAACAACTTTATTTACAGAAAATAAATGAAAAAAAAGTCTAGTCCAAAACAACTAGAGTAAATTTGAGGCCTGGGCCCCGGGGTACATTTTCACCTTAACCAGTAAATGCCCTCTGCCAACACCACACAGCCTGTGGCCTTGCCCTTGGTGTGGGTCTTTACGACCTCTCTTCCTGCAAGTGCTTTCCTATGATTGCTGCAGAAGGCTGATGGCATTGTCCATCTTTATTTCTTCTCAAGGAAATTTCCTGGCACCCAGGGTTAGTACTTTGGGAAATGCTAAACTCCCAGTTGCTCTGAGCCATCGCTCCAATTTAGCTTCTGATTCCATTTTCTAAGGGAATAGCTGCTCTGACATCAGAATAGGAAATGCCAGCAGGTGATCGTGTCATTAAAGGTTCGAGTTTGAGCTCTTGAGTTTGAGAGAAAATGTGTTCATATTATAATTTTTGCAGCAGCTAGGAAATGCTGCAGTGAACAGGGCTGGCTTTTGCTGTGAGGAGATGGTCTCCGTGCTACATTCTTTTCACTCCTGGCTACTCTAAAGGCTACTCTTCCCTGCCATTGCACCAGAAGTGAAATACCCAGAGGCTCAGTGCTCTGGCCTATGTGTGGCTATTTCAAGGAGAGATTTCTCACTCTACCTCATTCCTTTCCCTTTTTCTCTTTCCCTCAAAATCTTCCACTGTTCCTGAGAGTGTCAGTCACACATTAGCGTGAAGTAGCATGGTGGGCTTGAAAGCTGAGTTGGTACTTTATTGTGGATGAATGAGGCATCATTTGGAGATGTGGGTAGCCTGGGGACAGAAGACAAGTAAGCAGAAGGTGGCAAGAAGGCAGAGACATCTTTCTGCACTTCTTCTCACCCCATCTCGTCCTCATAGCAAAAATGACAGTGCAGTAAACTCCAGGAATTTGCAGTGTTGACATTGAGTCCCCTGGGTGCCTCAGCATAAGTGGCTCAGACCTTGGGCTGTTTCTACCAAATGAAGACTTACCCTCGGCAAGAATAAATGGCAGCTAGATTTTTCTGGGCATGTGAAATCTTGATATCCAAGGGAGCAGTTAATACCTGGGAAGAACTCTGAAAGCAAACAGGAGCATTTAAAAATAGTCATCTGATGACACAGCTGTGGAAAGAGTCTCTGGGAGATCTTAGAAGAAGCATTTTCCCAAGGGCTGGTTGGCTGAACTGGGAGCAAGTCCCCTCTTTCCTTGGCCCACCCACCTTAGGTAAGGATGTGCAGGACTTCCTCATTTAGCTTTTAGCAGGAACTTGGTATTTGACAGGGCTTGAAGTACCTATACAAGTAGATTGTAACAGTCACAAACCAAAGGGAAAAAACCATTCTTCTTTCTTCCTGTAATTGAGGTCAAGTTGGGAGACTGAGGCGTGAACAGGATGTGAAGAACCGCAGATGTGGGTGTGGGCTGTGCTGCTGAAGTGCGGGAGACAAGGGAAGGCGAGCTGAGGAGGCACCCTAGCTGAAGGGGCGCCTTTCTGGGCGACATGTCAGCCTCTGGTCAAGAAGCCAGTGTCAAGGGGCAGGGTGCCCACAGAGAAGGGCAGGTACAGGTCCTCAGTGAGGACTTCTTTGAATATGGCCTCTGGGTCCTGATGGCAAAGACCCAGAGAGAGAAGACAGGCTCTAAAATGAAGTTCTAGGCACCTTGGGAAAGAGGGGAGGGAATTGCAGAGGCTCTGTGGTCCCTCATGGCCTCTGTGGTCACCTGCTGAGATTGGGGTAATGGGAAAGTGACTGGGGCTCGGCTCAGAGCTCAAGCTTTGTGTCCCTGTGAGGCGGCATTTTGAAAGCCAGTCACTCCTTGTGGCCCACCAGAAAAGACCTTGCTCCCATCTCCCATCCAGGCAGCTCGGCTGAGCTAGTGTGGGGTATGGCTGTGTGTGAGGGGGGGGAAGTCCTCAGCAATGGCAGTGTCCAGTGAGAGGAGACTGGATTCGTCACCGGGGAAGGCAGTGCGTAAAACAGAGGGAGCAGAGCTGGTCTAGGTGACACGGGTCGGGAGCTCCACTCCACTCTCTGATGAGCTGCTCCAAACAGTTTGAAAACCACTGGAAACAGATGTGAGATTACTATTTGAAGAGGAAAGTAGGAAGGGAAACAAAGCCACTTACCCAAGTTAGAACAAAAAATAAAGAACACCAAGGTCAGACGATAATGTTGGAAGCCAAGCCTGGCAGCAAGAGGAATAGATGTGTATTTTACAAATATATATATAAATTGTCAACGTTTAGGGGCGACATTAAGTCTTAGCGATACAGAAATGACCACTCTACACCATGTTGGAAATGGTAAAGTAAAAAGTTATCCTAGTATTTAAAAAATATTTAAAAACCCTAATTTCCCTATCAGAACAGTCTACTCTATTGAGGATATTATGGCAATATTATTTTGAGTCAAATATTTTGGAAATTTTATGAATGTGACCCATGACTTTCACACTTACAGAAGGTAAATTACTGTAACATGTCAGTATTTAGCCGAGCATGGTGGCTCATGCCTGTAATCCTAGTACTCTGGAGGCCAAGGCAAGGGGATTGCTTGAGCTTAGGAGTTTGAAACCAGCCTAAGCAAGAGTGAGATCCCGTCTCTACTACAAATAGAAGAACTAACCAGACATTGTGGTAGGTACCTGTAGTCCCAGCTGTTAGGCAAGAGGATTGCTTGAGCATAAGAATTTGAGGTTGCTGTGAGCTATGACGCCATGGTACTCTATCCAGGGTGACAGGATGAGACTCTTGTTTCAAAACATTTCAGTATTTAAAAAAATGCTTTTCATGGAAAAAATGACATGTTAAGATACTGTTAAAATGTCATCAGAAACCACCATTGGCTTCAAACACTTGACGTTATCTAACTCAAGATGCCATTTCTGTTTACAAAGATAGTTTCTCAAAAACTTCAAAGAATTCCATTTCTTAGATACAATCTAATTCTCCAACAATTATGAGCACTGTCCCTCCACTTTTGCACCGACTCAGTAACAACTGTGTATCTTCTCCCTTACTGTGTAACAGCAGCAGCACTGCGGACAAAATAATGGGCTCCGGCTGGCATTGTCCTGCCCCAGCACTTACCAATTGGGTTATCCTGGCCAAACTAACACCCCCGGTTAGCCTAACACTCAGTTTCCTAGTCTGTAACTGCAAGTCTATTAAGGGTTAAATGAAACTGTGTATAAAATGTATCTAGCAAGCAGAAAGTGATACTATTGGTCACCCTGTGGCCCTGGTGCTTGACAACTAAATGGAGAAATACTCACCCAAGCATTCTCACTACTTAAAATGCTGTTTATCACCTGAATATGATGGGGGAAAAAAGTGGGGATTACTTCAGATTTATGGGTCAGCTTTACTCATATTGTAACAGGCAGAATTAATAAGCACCTCTGTAATTACTCAAGACATTAAAAATTATACATAATGTCCTGTGTACTTTTTTTTTTTTTTGA